CCATCATCTATTCATGTGTTAGAATATGCAGCATTTGGGTTTCTGAGTCAGATTTAGTTCACTTAACATTAAAACCGTCTTAACTTTCAGACAACAGCTGAGAAGCAGCAGCTGAAGCCTGGCTAATGCAAAAAACCTGAGCCTCAGGAGGGAACTAATGCTCTCCTTAACTAAGGACGAATACTCTATGTAGGGAGGTGGTGTGAAAGCCAGCCTTTCTCAAGCCTCTGCTTCACGCTCTTTGCCTAACTCCCTGCTTGTCTATAGCACTGAGTGTTCTTAACACATGTGTCAGTGGTTGACGGGGACCTCTGAGCAAGAGTGAAGACGACCTCTTCTGGGTCTTAAGTGGTTTGCCAGCTTTGGCCAGTCTCTTGGTTCCCAGGCTCTCAGAACTGGATTTTGGGACATTACGTGAGAAACTGGGTTACATGGGAAGATCAGGAGGGCTTCGCCCATGAGAACTATTGAGTTCAGAGCTGACTCTCTGGCCCGTAGTTTTGCATTTTCAATAGGGGTCAACTGAGTTGGGTAAACTCTCTGTCACTAGAACTATAAAATGGAGATGATGAGATAGAACACTCACCCCTGAAATGGGTCAGACTTCTAGGCTCCTTCTAGCAAGACATCTTCCAAAGCAGACAAAACATACCCTTCCAGGCTCTTCCCCCATCATTTATAGGCTCTGTGAGCCGAGGTCAATGGTATTTTCCCTTCCCATTGGCTGGGGCTGGCTCTGGATCCTCTCCCAGGTAGCAATGGTTGCTAAGCAATTAGTATATCACACCCCGCCCCAAGTTAACTGTCCTCAGGGCTTGCTCTTCCAGGTGCCTCCAATATGATGAGGCAGGGCTTCTCTGCAGCCTCTCAGGCAGCTGAACAAGCTGCGCCGTTACCTCCTTGGAGAACTTCGTTTACCTCAGATGCACTCCTTACCCTGGCAACAGTCTTGAGACGTTCTCAAGGAGATCTTTCTTGCTCACTCCTCCTCTGCCTTCACACACAGTGTAACTGTATTGAGTGGAAGGAGGGTTTCACAGGGCTGGCAAGGCGATCCGAGGGTGAGGGCTCTCGCTACCAAACCCGATGGCCTGAGTTCGATCCCTGGAGCCCACATGGTGGAAGGACGACACTAACTCCCAGATGCTGTCCTCTGAACCGCCTCCACATGAACACCGAGGCTCGATGGACCCCTCCAAATAAATAGGTGTAAAGGGACACAAGACATAATTATATGCAAACAGATTACACTTTATAATACTCGTGGTTTCTTCTAACCTTTTCTGATATGCTGGTTACATGCAAGGTTCAGTTGGGTGGGGTAGATATAGGTGGTAGTCATTTGGAGAAAGCTGCCTTCCCTCCCAAGAAGTTCACCCAGCATTAACACTGAGGGTAAAAGTGAGCATGGTTTATAAATCATGCAGTTTTCAGATCCTTCCGCCTCCAATCTGAAACGGACATTAGGGTGGGTAAGAAGATGGATGGATCTGGAAGGAGTTTAGGGAGGAGGTGACTATGATCAAAATGCCTCATATGAAATTCTCAACGTTCTCATAAATGAGAAAAAAGACAGGAACGTTACTCAGCTGAAACACATGAACACGTGAAATACTGAATAATATTTCCTGGCCAGGAATGGACACCCATGCCTCTGATCCCTGAACTTGGGAGGTGAAGGCAGGGAGGTCTTGGATTTTGGCCAGCTTGCCTTTGCTTCACAGAAAGACCCTCTCCTCAAATAATTATTGGGCCAGAAAGATAGCTCATTGGCAGTGCTTGGTGGCCACGCATGAAGACCTGAGTTTGATCCCCAAAAACCACACAACAGTTGTGAGTGTGTGAGATCATGCTTGTAGTC